CCAAATGGGGGGGGGGGTTTCAAATTTTTAAAAATTGATACACAGCTAGACGCTCTTAGATGACATCTGAAAATAAGTTAAGCTTAAAATAGAAAGCGTACTAAACGTAGTACCGTATGTATACACGAAAAGTACACACACGAGACGAGTGACCATTTTTTGGGCATGGCAACCTTGAGCGCTTTGAGACTATATAAATCCAACTACCTACATTACATTATGTCACAAATCCCATCGACCACAAAAAAGAATTATGCAAATTGTAAAAGCTACCGTACCTTATAGACTACCATGTGCATTTTAAAGTAAGGTTATATAAATATTTATCTTAATTGCTTTATTTTCCTTGCTAATTATAGTATTTCATTATATTTATATAGGCATAATGTAGGTATAAATGTTGAATTTTTACTCTCGTCGATGAATGATAGTGAAAGCCAGAGCTTTTTTGCAGAGGGCGTCTTCGCAGAGAATGGAATAGCCAGTTGGGGTTTGGAATGGACTATAGGGGGCGGGATATCAATATTTATACTTTTGAGAAATTATCGACTCGGGTGGTACACATTCACATTGAAACAAAAAATACTATTAGAAACAACTACCACAATAACAACACAATTAACAATAGCAAGAGCAACGATAACACCAACATCAACAAATATCAGCAGAAACAATAACAGTAACAGAAGCAGAGCAATAAAAATATAAGTTTTGGGCGGATAAGTTATGATATAAAGAAAAAACAATTAACACATTTTACCACTGACTCATACTTGTTGGAACTTATGTAACAGAAAATTGTGATTAACTGAATCAAACCATCAAACGTACGTACATTGATTTTTAGATCAACGAAACAAACAAAAATTCTTCCTCGTTTTTTAGTTACATATTTGAAATGATAGTGTTTAGAATAAAAATATTATCTAATGTTCTGTAACCCTTCCTAAAACCCGCTTGTTCCTCGTGGATTATTCTTCAACAAAATTAGTCTTGAATTTAGAACATGCAAAAAAATCTTACCTAGAATTGGTATTAAAGAAATCGCTGTAGTTACTGTGTATTATTCGTTATGATTGGAGGGCGCTATGTAAATTTACGCTTCTATTTTTGACGGATACTTATAGAGGCCCAATAGACCGAATCGGCGGGCTGTCTCTTATACACATCTAGATGTGTATAAGAGACAGGGGCGTATTTTTCTATCCGTATTATTACCTCATGAATATTTATTTTAATAATTAACACAAACAATTACAATAAAAATGGTTTATAGTTTGAACTATACATGCGAAAAACACGGGGTTTTTTTTCAAATTTTAATGCATTTTCAGGAAGCTTGGGTTATTTTGGGCAATTTTTGCTGAATCTTGGGTAATTTCGACCCAGTCATTGGGTATATCAAAAATTGTGAGTGGTCACGCTGGACGACAGTGCATTGCATAATGGCTTTCCCTTGTTGTTGGTAAGTTACATCATATATGTTGCAAATGTTGGTTGGAAATTGGAATGCGATTTATAATTTGGTAAATAACTTAGAAATGTTCAAAAATTAAATTTTCAAATACTTATCAGTTTGGTTTGGTAGGGCTCCAAAGGATAGTGGGAATAAAGCCTGAAGTTTTTCAAGGAAGGGTACGGTAGGCCTACCTCACGACGTGCATATTGCTCCAGTGAGTCGTCGTCGGCTGAGGTACTTTTTAGGCCTAAGTCAAGAATATTATTCGTGGCAAATGCTATCGCAGCATGAACAAAAAAACGAATCGAATCCCCCATTCGTTGCAAGCGTATTATTTTACAGTTATTTTAAATCCAAAATTAAATCATACTTCATAGGATGTTTGTATGTGCCGACGATAATGACAATAATTTTAAAACAAATATTATTATTACGTACGGCATTAGTTAGGATGTACCATACCATGCCAGGCCTATTTTCACCAGCCTGTTTCCTAGACCAAGTTTGGTTGAGCAATCAGTACCGTTAAGGGTTATTTTCTACTTTATTACCTACAGTACTCGACTATTGAGATATATAGTCGAGGCATAACAGCTCCCTCCCTGCCGCGGGCCTGGTCAAGGCTTAACACTCACAGTGCAGCCTATGCCTAACTGTATGTAGCCTACCGTACAGTACCAGCTTTCCAGAGCCTAAATAAAATGCACGGAGATTACCAAAGTAATTATAAATCACTATTTAAAAAGGAAACATAGGCCTACTGCCTTACTTTATTTGGGTCGCTGTCTAGAAAACATAATAACTCTCTCAATATACTGTGTTCAATCATAGAGAAAATAGTTCAATGAACGCACGGTGGTTTACGATGTGTGTGTATATTTGTACCCACTTATGTCACATGACCAGTAATAGCTGGAGTCGCCGATTCGGTCTATTAAATAACACCTCTTGAAATATATATTTTACTGTTTTGCAACATTGTTTTTTAAATCGAAATGAAATGAAATGAAGTGAATGCTTTGTTGATAGTTTTACAATTTTATTGAAAAATAATGTATTTTGGAGTTGATTCGTGAATTTTTAAAATCTTTAATATTTGTCTGTATTACCTTAATTATATATTATTTATGTGGACTCTAATTGTTATGTACTGAATGCTCGGTACGTTCCCAAATGCTTGTGAAGAAAATCCGGCGCATTTTTTTTTTGCAAGTATTTGGGAACCTAGGCCTACTGAGCAGGCAGTAAGCCTACTACAGTATAACACATCAGGTATAGGGCACACAACGATTCGTATTATTTCTTGATGCAAAAAACGACATCGGAATAAATGTGCAATGTATTCATAATGTAACCATAAAGGGTCTTAACTCTCTATAGCCTACATTGTGTGAAGGAGTACCAGATAGCCTCGTTCAGTTACACTTTATAATTTTGGTATGGCCCACATAATACATGTAGTTTTCATGGCGTATTTGCATTCTATTCTGATATCGGTGGTACTCAATTATTATTGAGTGCCACCGATACGAAGGTGTATGTTGGAGTAAATAAAAAGCCACCATACTACAATTGTGAACCTTACTGAAGTTGTTAATGCAGTACAGTAGGCCTACTCCTATTCATGATACGAATTCATACTGTTATAACTACCCAATTTGTTATAGCCGAGAAATCATCCAGCGCCCTCTATTTCATTTTTTTTTTTGGCGCCACGGTTTCTCAATCTAATTATTAATTATATTCTCTTAAAAACACATATTTTTCAACAGCGTGCACCATCAGTCATGGAAGTCACAGTGACAACAGTAAAACGAACTGATAATTGCAATTATTCCTCGTTTATGAAATGAAATCATTTTCATCGCCAACAACTATTAAATTTGTATGAAATAACACAATATCTTTTATAAGTCTATAGCGATTAATGCGTACAGTTGCTACCAGTACGGCGTTAATTGTTATATGAGAGTGCCACAAGATATATAAACTCAAGCCAATGAAAAACTTAATGCATGTTGTTTTAACATTGTGAGGGTAACATCGGCGATACACATACAAGTACAAACTGCAGTTCACAGCGTAAAGCTAATGAAATAATTTGGTCAAGGCCTAATTGAGATTCATAAATTTGCAGTAATAACGGCAATATACCTAATTACTGAATATCGTCGGTCGATAGTCGTCGACGTATTCTTTTCTCGGCTTTACTCTAGGATCCGCCAATGTATAGGTGAGGAAAGTGCTAATACATTCTCTGGGTTTTACAAAAAAAAAAAAATATTAGCTTACATTAAGTGGGCCAAACGAATTCACCTAAAATTTAAATAGAACAAAAGAAATGTTTACTGTATTATGAACACTGAAAACAGGTATATGAAAACGCGCCACCTTTAAAAGATCCCTATCCCTTTGGGCCCTCCGAAGCAACTAGGCCTAGGTGTTATAGCTTTTGTTTTTTGACAGCCAGTCACAAACAAAGCAGAACCAAGTAACTAGACCCTTAGCCTTAGCATTTAGGTGTGGCTACCTCCTTCCAAGCCAACCTCAGTCAGTGCTTTGCAGCGTAAATCTAATGAAATAATTTGGTCAAGGCCTAATTGAGATTCATAAATTTGCGGTAATAACGGCAATAGACGTAATTATTGAATATTAATAATAGAATGGTTTGCAGCGTTCTTGCAGTACAGGTCCTAAGGTAATTACCAGCCATGTCGGCCTTCTGATCGGATAAATACTTTCATAAAGTAAAAGTGCAATCATATAATATTCAATTCGTTGCTGGGCTACGGAAACCGATCGCTGTGACGACAAAGTACCGGTAGTAAATACATCCGTTGAGATGTGCGTAGAGATTGTCTGCAGTGGTTGCGCAGGTGCCTTGATAAAGGATGATCGGTCTTTTAGTTAGCAGCAGCACGGGTAATTGATGTAGCCGATTAAAAACGAGTATTTTAGGTGAGTAGAGCAGCATGTATACTTATTGTCGATGACGCCACATATACCTTTCAAACAAAACTAATGTAGAGTAATTATCATTTTGATTTTCCTAATTATTTAGTTAGGTGATATCGTCGGTATATTTTATACTATTTTAATACAATGTAATGTAGGCAACATTAATGACAAGATTATTTATCGTTTTTTATTAGTCGTCGTCAACATGCTGATGCTTTCGTCCAGCAGTGGACCGAAGATAGTTGATGATGATTTGTCGTCTGGTAATGGACTTAAATTAATAATTGGCTCAATGAAGATATAGTTGATAATATCTAGTAATCTAATCATAATGTGGATGATGTTGGAAGTTTTATATAATTATATATATGTTAATATATAAACATTACATAATATTTCCCCCTTTTTATGGTCCAATTATATATTATATGATGATGTAAGTAGTATTAGTAGTACAGTGTAGTAGTAGTAGCAGCAGCAGAAGCAGCAATCAGTGTAGTAGTACTGGAGTAGTAGTAGTACCGTAGTAGTAAGTAGTAGGCCTAGTAGTAGTATAGCAGTAGTCGTACGGTACCGTAGTAGAGTAGTACTGAGCATACGGTAGTAACAAAGAAAATACGTCGTGATTCACATGTGTGATATTTGCTGTAGTTTAGTTACCTAGCAACCACTGACGCCTACTCATCTTTTTTTTTCTACTAGCACGTTCGACTTGACATGGGGATTTACATTGAAATGCATTTTTAAATTGTATTTTTATTCCATGCATCAGCTGACATAATGTCATTCATCCATTTCCTTTAATCCTAAGGATGCAGTTACATGTTATATTCATTCATTCATTCATTCATTCATTCGTTCATTCATTCGCTCGCTCGCTCGTTCGTTCGTTCGTTCGTTCATTCATTTATTCATTATATTTTAGATAAAATCCATAGAAATGACAGCTAGTAATAGGGTAATTTTATCATAGGCCATTGAAAGGTAGGCCTGCGTAAAAGAACACACTAATGCCGGATATAGAAAACTACCGTAATTAAGATTAATCTAAATTTTGATTACAATGTTTTGACAACGATGAAAATACACTGTGATACTTGGCCAATATATGAACAGGTTGCATAGGCCTACATTATATACGGTACGGTATTCATCTGTATATCGATTTCGATGTTGACTAATTCGACCCATACCTTCTTAGTTTATAATTATATTTATCAATATTTTGTATTTTTGTTGTAAATTTCTCTTGTATTTGAATTTTGTTATAATTAATTTTAACACATTTTATATGTTATTGATATTTTATATTTTCATTCAATCTTATTTATATTTATTTTATCTTATTTGCATTTTATTATATATATAGACCTATATATAATTTGTATTTTTTCTATCTTATTTGCATTTTATTATATATATAGGCCTGCATTTTATTATATATATAGGCCTATATATAATTTGTATTTTATATATATATAATATAATATAAATCAAGATAGCCGTTAACAAATTATATAAATTATAAGGTAAATGCAGTGTTCGAAATGTACTAGAATGATCTATTTCGAACACTGTATATATATGATCTATATATATATATATATATATATATATATATATATATATATGTTTACCGGTGTGTGTATATATATAAGAACGACCCACCCCCTCCGCACCTGAAAACTGACTGCATGCAACATACGAGGTTATGCATTAAACTTTGTAAGTTCGATGCAAGTAAATTAATCCATATACAATCTCATTTGAAGTATATAGACCTTAGCCTAATATCGCCCAATCCGATGTCTAAGATGAGTAGAGCATAACTACGCTGAGCTATGGAAATTATCCCACGCAAGTCCGCTAGTATCCATTAATTTCATCGTAGTTAATCATGATTTATCTCTGAAACCATTAATGTTGAAATAACCGATGAACCACGTGTAAAGCCTGCCAGTTTTCACGCATAAACCTAAATAACTTTAACGCAGAGGCACGGGTAATCGCGTTATAACAACTACGTCGGCCTACACCACAAAAGAGATTTGATTACTGTAATTGTATACAGTAGGCCTCAACTGAGGTTCGTTAGTTTTATATCGTGCTCTGTGTACATTTATTGTACTGAAAAGCTAATCAGCTCCTTTCGAATCTAGAACTCTGATGAGGTCTGTTATATGTACGCCCGGTAGCTAATAGCTACATCATTCGTACATGGTTCACGTGTATTCATGCGTCTAGTTCGTTGAGTTGAGACCTGAGGATAATATATATTTATCAATAAACATAAAAGAATAAATGCGGATTTACAAGAATTATAACGGGGATACGTTTCACAAAAATAGACAGTAGTATTTGCGCTCAATTTGAGGACATTATCAGTGGCCGGTTTAAGGCAGTGTTGTGTCAAATTTGTTCCGCAGCTACCGTACATCATCCGACAACGCTACATATGAAGCGGAATTTCCATAACGTTGCTGCATGCTATCGATGCTCATTGGTCGGTTGAATCGAGGAGTCTTCAATTGTTATTGCCTCGGGATAGCTACATAGTGTTACGATAAGATAGTATAGGCCTTTATTTTAACCTCCTTGAGTATTACATACTCCAAGTATCGAAATGCACGCCATCGTGTCGGGATTCAATATTTCGACATGTCATCATCAGGAATGTGGTGTAACGATTGTATAGTGAATGTACTGTAACGATTGTATAGTGAATGTAATGTAACGATTGTATAGTGAAAACAGTCTAGGGACAGTGTAGCAATTTTATGGAAACCAACTTAAGGGTATTGATTATAGAAATAAGATACAATAAAATCGCTCAGAAGTACACAGATTCAACACAATACTATCAAATATCAATATCCCATCTCATTTTTATGTTTTGTACGGTGAAAATCAGTGTCAATAACATTAGTAATATTTCTTCGATTACAATCCAGCTATTCTTAAGGGACTGTATGCTTTCAAAGTCGCTCCAGAGGAGCTACGGTATCGTTTATCTTTTGGTTGCCGTCTTCTCTCTTATTCCTGCATCTACCCTCCTTTTATTATCACTTGGCTTACATATTTTTTTATCGGCTTACAGTAATTCAAATCACAAAAATATTATTGGTGTCTAATGTTCCACTGTATTTGTTCTTGCATTTTTATTGATGTTAATTTCGTCATCACTTTCGTCATATCTAAAACGTGTAGAAGAATTATTATTATTATTATTAAGAATTACCATTTGTCATTGTTGATATAATATTAGGAATCCATTAAGTTACACAATGTGGAATGAATTTTGTTTTACATTTTACTTAATTTCCATATTTTCAAGCAATGTAATTAAACTTAAATCAATATTCTTGATATGATGTTTTTATAGGCTTACCGAAATTACATCACCACAGCCTATTCATGTTGACAGCATTTGTTCTAGTTAATGTCAGTTCAACTTAAAGGTTTGTCACTTTGCGAAAACTCGAGAGCGGTAATGAGATACAGATTTTTAAATATTTAAAAACTGAGGAAAAAGGTGGAAAGATAGTATTTACGCCTGCCCTTTCCCCCAGTGTTTAAATATTTAAAAAACTGTGTCTCATTAACCTCTCATAGGTTCGTCAAAATGCTTTTTGTATCTTAGAAAAATCAGTTGTACATCGTATCAAAAACATTTTTTCCCTCCGGAGCCGGGCTTTAAGCTCTATCCACACTATCAAATTTTCTTTGACAAAAAAATGTGACAAGCCCATATATAGTAATGCTATGCCTATATATGGTCATGCTGTGATGTCATTATGCCCATATATGGGCATATCACACTTTTTTGTCACACTTTTTTTGATAGTGTAGACAGAGCTTTAAATCAACAAAATTTCAAACATTTGATTGGAAAAAGCTTCCGAAAATAATATAGGTAGTCTACCGTTGTGTATTAGGCATAGTATTCATCGCTTGCGGATATTGCAAGTTAGTAGTGATCAGGTACAAGAATTACTAGCTTTTGCATTCGAAAGCCTTTTGAAAAACAACAAACAAAAAACGACATGTCTATTAGTGGAACAGCTGTGTACTATAATTTAGATTACTTGATAGAAGTTAAAATAAAAATGTTTTTATGACATTAATATTCGGGAATTACGAGATATTATAGGTCTAAGTTAAGCGTGAACATTAAGAAAGCTATCAATCAATGTCAGAAACAACCACTAATAATTTACGGTATGTGGAATCTTGATTGAGAATCGTTCATGTTTTTCAGGTATTTTATGAGTCCGTATTCAATCTATTCGGCTGAATAAAAGCGCTTAGTATTTACTGCGCATTTTCATTACGATCACTCAGACTATTAGAATATTTTATTAGAATACCATAATCGTAGAATTCGCCACTATTTGAAATTTTGCACGCAATTAATCCAAGAGCATTTACGGTGATTGTGCGCAAATAATGCACGTACAACTCGTACATCACCGTATAAAACCCACGTCACCAATTGTATTCGTTGTGGATGCGTTTATAGAATAAATGCACATTACCTTGTGCATATATCACCGTGAAACGCACGTTGCCTAATTTTACTCTTTGTGGATGCATATCAATTCGTCAGTTTGTGTATGCCATTATCTTATAAAACGCACTTCGGATAATGTATAGA